ATTGGCTTCCCATCGATGTTTGGAACTTACCCATCGCTGGTAAGCCAATTTTCCTTCAGTTTTGAAGCCAACGGTTACCTACCCATCGATGGGTAAATGCTTCCCATCACTGGGTGGGAGGTTGACTTTCAAATAAGGAAAGAATCAGCCTTAAATGACTCCCAACGGTCATGCCTTCCCATCGATGGTTAAGCCTTCCCATCGCTGGGTTCCCATCGATGGATAAAGCTTCCCATCGCTGGGTAAGGGCATTCTGCCTTGTGGTAATGTTGCACCAAGGCTTTAACATCGATGGGTAGAACTTCCCATCGCTGTTTGGCATGATTCTGGAAATTGGTTTGGCTAAGGGACTGCTTACCCATCGATGGGAAGATCTTCCCATCGCTGGGTGGCATGATTCTGGAATCCCGGGATCACTTGCCCATGCATGGGTGAAATCTACCATCGCTGGGTAGATGGCTAGTCCAGAACCATGGCTTAGCCGACCGGCGTTGAAACCCGACCGAAAAAATGCAAAGTTCTCCAAAGTAAAAACTAAGTATTTAAAACACTTATTTAATGTATTGTGATGTCAAAACAAGCTTTGTAAGTTGAAAACCACGTCGTTAAGGTAAAAACCATGGTTGACCAAGTCAACGCCGTACACGGGTGGTTTTTACCAAAAGACAAAACCGAAAGGTGGTTTTCATGATGTTTTGATTGGAGAACCATTTAAATGCATTCAAAAACAATTCCCACACAAAAGGACTCGAAAACCACTTCATTTAAGTAAAAACCACGGCTAGCCAAGTTTATGCCGTTTCGCATGGTTTTTATCAAAAGACAAAAAACGAAAGGTGGTTTTTGAAGTATTTTTGATGGAAAACTATTTAAATGTGCCCAGAAGTAAAAACCAATCATAAAAAGTTGAAAACCACTTGGTTGGTTCGGACGCCAAAAACTTACGCCGATAACCAAATGCCGAACGCCGGTTTCTGAAAACCGAACGCCGGTTTCTGAAAGCCGAACCCCGGATGGCTTGGTTTTTGGTTTGGGCGAACACCAAGTGTTTTTAATATGTTTAAGCATGTTTGAAAACAATTTTGATGATATGTAAAATGCAATAAAAAATGTTTTAGTCTAAAGAGCCAAAGTGCAAAGCTTGGGTCGGTCTTGATCACATTGTGACCGACTCAACGACGCTAAAGACTACGGTCTTCGTTCTTGGTCTCTTGCTTTCTTCTTATATTTATTTCTCGCCTTGTATATTCAACAACTTGTCTCGTTCACGGCGGTTTGGCATTATCAAAACTTGTCATAAAAACGAACACGGCTTTAGTACGAAAACGTGATAAACCCGTGTTTCAACAAACATATAGATGACTTATATATGCATCACATATATATTTTGGGATGATTTCAACATATGGATTAATATATATGTTCATGTACGTATGTGATGAATGATTCGACAAGTCTAACGCAAGGGTACAGCCTGCGGTATTTTGGGCGGGAGTGGAAACAACATTGAAATTTGCCAACTTTGTCATTCCCGTCACAATTGGACAGCCTGCGGTATTTTGGGCATATCTCCATCGTTTCTTCACGGAATCGCAAACCGTTTGATTCTGTGGATTCCTAAGATGTAAGGCTATAACTTTTTTATAGAAAATATTTCGAGTTAATGGATGTAAGGTGGCGTAAATCGGACCTGAAGTCAAGGGACAGTTGCTGTCCAGAAATTTTGAATACTCCGGTGAACAACGGTTTCGACGATTAACTCATTAACTTCAATACTCCAACACCGAACCTTCTCTACGATACCTTCCGGATGTTCCTAATAATTGTTAGAGAGTTTATGGTAAGTATTTGGAATGAAACAACATGAATATGGTGAGGAAACATAGCCAATCTCGAGGAGCTCGCCACCACTGGCGCAGTCCCGGTATTTTGGCCATATCTCCTTTGTTACTTAATGAAATCGCGAGCCGTTTGTTGGGTTGGATTCGTATCGTCCGTGGATACAACTTTGGTACATAAAGTATTTCGAGATAATGAATAGAAAATTTCAGTTTTTACCATGAAGTGGGCTGCTGTGTTTGAACTCAGGATTTTGGAAACTTTGGATGGTTTCTTGCTTGCTCCTTCTTCTTCCTTAACATGAAATCTTGGAGTTGAAATCTCCTTTTTCCTTCCTTGGTGCCTGACCGACAGAGAGAGCGAGATGGAGAGGGAGGAATGGATGAATGATGGTGGATGATGGTGAAGATTATGATGATGATGGTGGTGGATGGAGTATTATATGAAAAGAATTTGGAGTTTATTGTGTTAGTGGAGTCAAAAGTGGAGCTAGGCTATCTTTAGCGGAATAGGGGGGCTGATCGGTGATGTACATGAGATTTGATAATTTAAGTTTTGGCTTTTTGCCAAAACTGAACAATTTACTCCAAACGGTACGCACTTTTTCGCCCAAACTGCTCCGAATTGAAAATGGATTGTGTTTTTGGAATCAGACTGTCAAAACTAGAATTTTGACGTAATCAAAATATTTTTATGAGAACTTTTATTTTTCTTTGTTCAGGCCTGTCTGAGTCATAAATTAATATAATAATATGAATGAGATAAAAATATATGAATCAAATCCAAATGATAAATATGGTGTTGTCAAGTGTCCAAGATTAATATTTCTAATCTTATGAAATTACTTTTGAATTGAGTTTATTTTATGGGTCAAAGTTACAAATTTTAATATTTAAAATCGTCATAACTTGAAATCTATAAATCAGATTGGTTCATAAAATGTACCGTTGGAATCGTCTCTTCGAGACATATCCATAAAAATAAGTTTTTAACAAAAAGTCATTATTTTGAAAATTCATTTATTTTTGGTCAAACGTATAAATATTCTTTATTGGTCAAAATAATATTCAAAATTACTTTTGTTTTATAATAAATTTTAGGCCATATTTTGTGGCATTACATTTCTTCCCCCCTTAAAGAAATTTTGTCCCCGAAATTTCCTTGGGTGAAGTTATTTAAAATGATGGTGTACAAAATCATGAATATCCATTGTTTTTGTAAAACACTAATTTTGAAGAACTTGTTTTCTCTTTCTTTTATCGAGTGTCATGATTGTGAAATGTTTTCTTTTGAGAAAACATATATATCTAACGTGTTTGAACTTCTTTAATGAAGACTTGCACCGAATATACTCTTAGACTTTCTATTGCCGTGTTGTAGCAGTTTTCAGAAGTTCTCGTATGGGTTGTGTTTCGTGAATGTGGGGTAATTTACAAAGTTTCCGTTTTTTTTAGAATCATTCTCAGACGACTTTGTCTGGAATGTTGGTGTCACAAATTATGCTTCATTGTGTACAAGCTGGAACGAATTGTTTCTAGGTTTGACGTTCTTACATAGACTATTACCATAGTCATCATTCTAAGTTTCTTGGATGAATACGTAATTATAGTTTTAGAACTTGAAATCTCATTAGCGATCCTTAATAGAGTTGTCTTGACTAACGTAATGTCAATAAGCTGATTAAAGCTTGTTTGTAACAGTTAACACATATATCACACTTATATATAACAATAATACTAGTGTCAAACCCGTGCTTCGCACGGGCTCGTATACATTCTAAACTTTTGATATTCTATAAATATAATTTTATTTATTTTAAATGAATATTTTTTCACTCTAAGATATACGGAGTATACTTTTTTAAACAAAAAGTATACTTTAAATATTGATGTGCATGCACTAAAAATTCTATAACTATTTTATTAAAAAAAATATTACATTAAATAAACATAAAAATGCCAAAAACTATTTAATATCTTTGGAGGTGAATTTTTTTTTCATTTTTTGAAAGTGAAATATTCTTAAATCAATAATTGAGAGTCTTATACATACTCTTTTTAAAATTTTGCAATCAATATGCATGTTTAAAATAAAGAGTATATTTTACAATAGTGAAATATACATTTATAGAGTCGTTAGAAAATGTTAAAGTTTTATACAAAATATAATCCAAGTAATGTTTATTCATGCTAAAAAATAATATTCATTTAATATAATACAATAAAATATATTAAAAGATTTTTAAAAAGAAGCTTAAAGAACCAATGAAATTCCTCCATCTCATAATTAGTGTACATATGGATGCATATGTGGCATGCCACATGTTAACATCACAACCAAGAAACTCAACTTTACATATATATAGGATAGGATAGGATAGGATGGGATAGGATATAGGATAGGATATGTTTTTTATCACATTGTAATGTTTTGATAACACTTGTTATTGTGTCACTATTTGTTTTATCAAGATGATATGTAGTCATTCTTGAATACTGATTTTCTGATTGATGATTCCAGAACTACCTTGGAATTTCAGACTTTCTCAATAATTATGATAGAGCTTCATGCCCGAAATTATAATATTAGTCTATTCGTCATATCACTAATATTCTTACTGCACACAACAATTGCATTACTTATTGTCGAAAACATGATAAGTTATACACATAGTCATATTCTAATATGTTTGAGATTCTACAGACACATGCATGATTTTTGAAGTTCGGTATCATAAAACATCTTTTTGGTTTGATGGAGAATTATGAGATAAACAAGTTCTTAATTATTTGTAAAAAAAATGGAATTCAATCTTTTCAAGATTGATCAAATGAGATGCTTCAAGTGTTTAACTAACACAGCAAGTCCGAATATTTCAAGGATATAAGTCATAAGATACAAAGTTAACATTTGTGAATTATCACTCAATGTTTCGCCCTTTGGAAATTACTCAAAGAGTCATTCTCTTAGGGAAGTAGTCATTTTGACTTTTTGTCTCGGATTTGAATGTATTTCAGGACAATGAGCCTAACTATTCATGAGTCTCAATATGCCATGTCGTCAGCAAACTGTAGTATTGGTGAGTACATCTTGTCTTGAGCAAATCCACTTTTCTGTATGTTTTTAGGCTGGTGATAATTACTTTTCCATCAATGTTTCAGTTTCAGAGTCTATATATATCAAATTGTGGCAAGAGCGTTTCACATTCTCACATTATGGAAGGAACTTCTCGAGCTCTTTCTAATACCATAAGATTCGTTGGTCTACTTGGTAGTCATGCTCTTGGTAGCAATCCAAGGTTCTTGGCTACAGCGGTTGATTTAGGACGGGAATTGGTAAGGCAAAAAATCAGGCTTACCTACGGAGGAGGCAGCGTTGGCCTTCAAGGAGCTGTAGCTTCAACAATCTATAATAATGGTGGTAGAGTCAGAGGTTTCATACCAGGGTATATAGCAACACGACAGGTTTACGGACCTACGTACGGTGTAGAGTACACCGTCTCCAGCAATTACAATAAGTACTTCGAGATGAATCATATTGTGGAAGCCTTCATCGTACTTCATGGAGGGATTGACACTATGGAAGGTTTATTCACCTTGATCTCATGGGCATCCAAAGGGTTACACAGTAAACCCATTGGTCTTTTAAAAATTGACGGTTATTTCAATAACCTAATCAAGTTTCTAGATGATGCGGTGAGGCAGAACTTCATGGCTTTGAATCAGAGGAAATTGTTCATTTCTTCTTTCTTTGTTGATGAGCTTTTGGATAATCTAGAGTTTGCTAAGGCTTTCCCGGGTCCTGGTGCTAGTTATGACGAGTTTGCAAATCCTGGAAGATTAGACTTAGAGTTGCATCTGTAATATAATATTGTCCATGTACATTATGCGTTAGTCATAAATATTGTTCTAAGCTGCATGACCAGTGCATTTCAGAAGAATATTTATTTCCAACATCAAAATGTACCATGTTAATATTAATCTTTTTTTATCTTCTAGTCTCTCACTCTTGGTGTGACTGTTTCAGGTCTTGTTTTGTGCTGTCATCTTGTTGCGACTTTTTGCGTCAATAGGGTATACGAACGAGTCAATTATCTTAATGTTTGTATGAAGATTCACCCCTATAATGCGTTTCAGATTTGATACATACGCCGTATTCGACCTGGTTTGTGAGGTTCTATTTGTGCTCTTAGAAAACGACAGATTCACTTTTGGAGAATTTGTTCACTTTCTATCGAAGAAAATTCTTGTTGGGAAAAATATTATAGATTTTGATGATGATGTATTTAGATTGTAATAGGGTCTTAGGTCTCCCCCAATATTCAATGTATTTTTTATTTTTAGAAATGTTGTTAAAACCGAGTTCTTGAGATTTCCAATAAAATTGTGATATTTTTTAAGTGGTTTGATGCTTGAAGACTTAATCAAATTCAGTGATATGGAAATTGGATATCTTGATCGGAAATGTCAGAGACAAGTAAGGATTTCTCAAAGCAGATGAAAATCCTCTAATCCAGATGACTACATGATAACTGGATGTCTCGCTACAACTTGCTAAAGGCTAAGTCATCCAAATCGGAAGACTAGCGCGGATCTCTTTCTCACCCGGAAGTCTGTGAATGACTCTTCCGGATTAGTCAGCAAAGAACCGGATGCCTCAAGGAAGACCGGAACTCTCAGAAGCGGACAAGTGAGAAAAGACTTAGAAAATTATCTAAGTCTTGAATGAAGAAAATTCTACCCGTTGGTAAGGAAAAATCAATCCCTTGATTTTCAACGGCTAGATTGAAGATAATTATGCTGATTCAAGAACAAATGACTTGAAGACAAAGTCTAGACCTCTCAAATTAAAGAGCCCGTCCAGAATTCCTAAACAAGCACTAGAAGACAAACTGAGTAAAGTACTACAGTCCAGAATTCTTGAACAACAGCTAGAAGACAGATTCTGTAGAAAAAGGAATCCTTCCTCAAACAATTGGGTATGTCCAAACACCCATTCCAATGAGGAATCTTCAATCACAATCTTCATTCAAAATTGAAGCCAGCAAATGCAACGGATAGTCTATTTTGACTCAACGGATAGATTATCCAATCCAGCTATAAATAGCATCCTTGGAAGACTGGAGAAGATACGATGAACAACGAAGCAATCTCTAACAACAAAGCTATCTCACAGTTAGCCATAAAGCTTGATAAAGAGAGAATTCTAAACTCCTTATCCAGAAGCAAACTTCTCCTCCTTCCAAAGAGCTATAGTGTAAACACTTGAAGGTTTCCTTGCCTCAAGTACCACACCACGTTGAAGGATATAACTTTTAATCAAACTTCTTGATTAAAAGGGGGTACGTCAACTTTCTTACAAGTTGATCTTGCAAGTCCTATTGTTCGGATCTTGCAGTTGTTGAAGAAGCGTGACCTTCGAAGGAACAACAAAGCCAGCACGAGTGCAGTAGCAACATTGGCCTTGCGAAGATATACCGTGCAGAAATTCACACAAGTGTAATTGTTGGTTCATTATTCAACAACCAACTACATAGTGGATTTTGAGGACGTAGAAGGATTACCCCACCTTCGAACCTCGTTAAAGTTTGCGTGTATCTCTCTTTTATCTTTACTCTTACTTGCAATTACATTAACTGTGAAAACTAACCCATCCATATTGATTACTGCTCATACTACCCACCAAATTCCGCACACAATCTAAAGTTCACTAGAGCTCTAGATTAACACTCATTTTCACGTTTTCAAAAGAAACGAAAAAGTTTTAAATTTGTAACAAAGTCTATTTACCCCCCCCCCCCTCTAGACTTTGTATTTCACCACTTTGGGACCACCAATTGGTATCAGAGCAAACTTCTCACTATCTACCTTTAGATTAACGAGAAGCGATCATAATGGTGAACAATATGGATCACGGTTTGTCCAAGTTTTCTCTTCTAGGTTATGATGATTGGAAGATCATGATGGAATCACACCTCTATGCCCTACATGATTGCATGTGGGATGTGCTTGAGGATGGACCCTTGAAAATCCAAATGGAGAATCCTAAAAGGAATCCAGCAACTCCAGATGTAGTCAAGTACATTCCAAAGCCCAAGGAGAAATGGGATGATAGAGATTGCAAAAAGCACAATCTGGACAACGTCGCCAAAGCAGCCATCTTCAAAACACTTGATCCCATCACCTTCTCCAAAATCAAGCATCTCAAGACTGCCATGGAGATATGGCAAGGTCTTGGGAAGCTATGTGAGGGATCAGAGGACCTGAGAAAGCAGAAGATAGAAGTGCTGCTTGAGAAGTTCAAAAGCTTCAAAATGCTTCCCGGAGAATCATTTGATATGTTGGATGAAAGATTCCACAAAATCTTAAATGATCTTGCATCACTTAACCACGTTCTTACTCCCAAAGAAAAGAATGTAAGGTTACTGAGATCACTTCCAACTGAGTGGTACACCAAAGCCACAGCCATGGAAGAAGGAAGAAACCTAGAGAACTACACTGTCCAAGGTCTCGTTGATGAGCTCAGAACTTATGAGCACGAGCTGAAGAAGAAGAAGGAAGAACAAGTCACTCCCTTCCCCATGGCATTGATGACAACTCCAAGAGTCCCATCAAATGAAGGGACATGCCCAAGGAATTGTGACACACGTTCCTCCAGCCAGCCGTCAAGCTCAAAAATGGAGAACTATGATGAGGAATTTGCCATGATGGTCAAACAATTCCGGAAGTTCAAGAAGTTCTTCAAGAAGGCTGACTCAGTCAGAAGGCTATCCAAGGGAAAGCCACAGGTAGGTGACTCCCCTCCTGAGTCTTATCTGTGTTATAACTGCAGGAAACCCGGTCATTGGAAGTCAGCATGCCCATACCCAAAGGTGGAGAAGTACAGAGAAAGAGAAAGGAATGAGAAGAAAAAGAAGGCAATGGTTGCTGCTGAAAGTGACGAGTCATCCAGCTCAAGCTCGGATGAAGAAGCCCTCGTCTGCATGGAGCGCAGAGCTGAGAAGTCCAACCATGAGGATAGGTGGACTATGTCAGAAGATGACACCCTCTGCCTAATGGCCAAAGATGATGCTGATCAAGAGGTAACTTCACAAACCTCCTGCTCATCTTCTTATGAAAGCATACCAACTTTTGAAAGTCTTTTTGACAAGTTCAAAAAGATGATGGAAGATTTTGAGGAAATAAATCTAAAACACTCATCCTTGACAGAGGAGAACAAACTGTTAAGTGAAGAGAATCTCAATTTGACTGAAGGTCGGAAAAGTCAACTAAATGAGATTACTCAACTCAAGGCTGAAAATGAATCTCTCTCTGAAAAGGTGAAATCCCTTAACAAGGAGCTAGGGATACTTAAGTCCAAAGAAGCAGTGGATGAGCTTCTTAAAGCGACCAAACAAAAGGGTCGTGAAGGACTTGGGTTTGACCCCTCCAGTTCTAAAAGGAAAGGGAGAACAACTTTCATCCCTCCTAAACCTACTGCCAAACCCAATAAGCAGAAAGGGAAGGAAAAGGAGAAACCAACAGAAGTTCCCAAAAAGGTAGTCCCTCCTAAGAATTATAGGAAGCTGGACAGACCTCAAAGAGGAAATAACTTCAGAAGAAAACCTTCTAACCCCTAATATACACGAGGCTATACTCATTATGGGGTAGATAGAAGTTTTCCAAGAAATTCTGAGTGGAGAACCATGCCAAGATATAGTCATTCTCCACCCCAGAAACTATTGGTGCCACCCAAGTATGCCTACAACCGTCACAGGTCAAACTATGCACAACCTAGACAAAACTATAGGTCTTATCAACTTAGGTTTGCTAGGAGGAAACAGGAAATTGCACCTACTGCACGTAGGAAGTTTTATGCCTACAACTATGATTACAATCCCAACAAGTTTAGGGCTGCAAGGAAAATTCCCTGCAACTTCAAACTTGATGTAGGGACACACACCATTAACTATTCCGGACCCAAACTGAATTGGGTACCAAAATCTTCCTCCTCCTAATGCAGGAGGCCGCTAAGCACCCAGGTGTCTGGTACTTAGACAGTGGTTGTTCAAGACACATGACGGGTGATGCGAGTCTTTTGAGCAATCTAATTCCCTATGATGGTCCAAGATTTACTTTTGGAGGAAGCAATGATTTTGGCCTTACAAAAGGGCTAGGAAATCTGGTGTACAAGGGACTAACCATTCAAGCTGTATCTTATGTAGAAGGTCTCAACTATAACCTTCTTAGCATAAGTCAGTTTTGTGATAAAGGTTATTCTCTGGGATTCTGCAAGGAAATGGCATCCCTCAAGAACATCTCCACAAATGAAATCATTCTCACTGGGAAGAGAATCAGGAACATCTATGAAGTGATATGGGACGATGTCAAGGAAGCATGCTTAATCAGCAAAGGTGACACTAACCTTCTATGGCTTTGGCACAAGAGGTTGAGTCATCTCAACTTCAAAACTCTCAACAAGCTGTCCAAAGAAGGGTTACTAGAAGGTCTTCCCAAAGCTGCATTCAAGAAGGAAAGCATTTGTGATGCTTGCCAGAAAGGAAAGCAAGTCAAGTCTACTTTCAAGGCAAAACCGGCACCCTCAACTACAAGGATATTAAGTCGTATTCACATGGACTTATTTGGCCCTGTTACACCAATAAGTCTAAGTGGAAAGAAATATGTCCTGGTAGTAGTTGATGATTACTCAAGATACACGTGGACAATCTTCCTCAACAGCAAGAAGGAAACTCAAGGAAAGCTCACAAACTGCATGAAGCTGATTCAAAACCAAGCAAGTCAGACCATCCAGAAGATCAGATCTGACAAAGGCACAAAATTCCTGAATGAAATCATCATTCATTACTGTGAAGAAAATGGAATTCTTCATCAAACATCAGCAACAAGGACACCTCAACAGAATGGTGTTGCTGAAAG